TTAAAATTGTAGGGGAATTTTTATAGATTATAGACAGACTTAGAAGCAAGAAGACTTTAGCCCTGAGGTAAAAACTCTCAACCATTTATCTGAGTAATATTATTTTGCTTTCTTCTCTTCTTTAATCCCTGCCCCAGTTTCTGTTTGTTTCAGACTTCCAGCACTGGCTTCTTTTTGATCCCTGCATCCTCATTTTGAGAATTCTCTGTTGACTCTGGCAGCTGCGTGGTGGGGCAGAGTTTTATAGGACGCCTGTTCCTGAAACAGGCTCAGCTGACAGAGGGCCACCCTGTCCAGGACTTCTGTCTGCCTTGGAGGAAATCACCGCCTCCTCCTCATGCTAAACAGAACTGTTGGAATGCTACTTGCAAGTCCCAGAGCCACAATTTGGCAGGGCTTGATACACTGTATCCATCTTCCTGCTAAGGGATGAGTATCCACTTAATCATTTATCAGGCTCTTTTGAAGGTTTGGGAATTGGTTTTTGAAGCCAGAAGTTGAATCAAGATTTCAGGGATGGGGAAGGGAAGATCTTCCTGTCAGCCTAAGAATTTGTACCCCAAGGATGGTTTTCCTCCTGTTTCCCTTCTCTGGTCCCTTTCCCCCGCTGTACATAATACTGTACTTAGTAGAGTCTGCTGGCTAGATTGGTGGGGAGAGAACCATTCTAGCTTCTTCAGACCTCGAGCCATATTTGGCAGCTGGTCTTTGAAACTAGTTAAACCTACCTAGATTTAGGGTCTTTGACTGCTATGTGACCTTTTTCTTTCCTTCTGATAACCTGTGGATCTATTTTTCTGAGCACAGATCCTGACCAGCAGTTAGTGTCTTGTAATCTTTTCTTTGCAATCCATTGGCATTTTAGGTTTCCAGACTTTTTAAAGAGCCTCCTTTGCTGATGATAAGCCGTAAGTTCACTCTCATTTGGCATAACCAACAGGTAGAGTCCATTTGCACTCAGATCTGTAGTTCTTTTCTGTAAGCAAAGTGGGATTATTATTCTAGTGACCTTCATCTTTTGTGTCATTACAAATTCTAGCCAGCTATCACATTTAAAAGTAGTACTTTGAAAGATCAGCCTATGCTATGATGCTGAAGAGATGTATTCCCCTCCTCTTCCAGAGGTGGTGGTGCTTCTTTGTTGTCTTCATGCTGTGTCATAACTTGAGGCCATTAATAGAGAGTAAGGGAAGCCCTCATTCATTCTCTAGTAAATCACTTGTGTACTTGACCTAGCTAAGTTTGAAGTTCTGTTTGCTTCTTTGCCCTGTAGAGCTTTCTAATCAGTCTTGTTGGGACACATTGAAGAGCAAGGTCATTGCTTTTTGACTAAGGGGACTTCATCTTTTTTAATTGCAGGTTCCATTACAGCTTATAGAAAGTGTTGAATGTCGAGATATATTTCAGCTTCATTTGACTTGCAAAGACTGCAAAGTTATCAGGTATGTGGTATGTTTGTGTGGCTGTTTTGTGTGGAATATATTTTTAAAGAATTGATACAGGATTTAGTAACTTAGCAAAATACCTTTTAAGGTCAGCCTTAAGAACATGTCCTAAGCCAAGGATTTAGCTCAGTGGTTCCGCTGCCTGCCTCGCAAGCTCAGGGACCCGAGTTCAATCCCCGGTACCAAAAACAACAACAGCAACAACAGAGAAATCTCTCTTTGGGCCGGGGATTTAGCTCAGTGGTTTTGCCACCTGCTGCACAGGTGCAAGGACCTGAGTTCCATCCCCGGTACCACAAAAAAAAAAAAAGAATATGTGTTAGTGCTTGAAATATTTTATCGTTAGTATATTTTGCATGTCAATAGATACTTTTTTTTTTATTTGAAAATATCAAATTTTTTTAAAGTGCAAAAATAAAAATAGCACACTAGTATTCCATTTACTGAGTCACTCATAGTTTATACTTTACCTCAGTTTGCATTATCATTTGCAGAACCCTGCAGTATGTGAGGTAGGTAGGGGTGTGTGTGTGTGAGAGAGAGAGAGAGAGAGATTTTTTTTCTGAGCAATTTGAGATAAGTTACATAAGCATGGCTTTTAACTCCAAAATACTTTGTGTGCTTCTGAGAATAAAGATTGTTTTTGTACATAACCATGGCATCATTATCAACTATTTTATCCAATCTACTATCCATGTTCCAGTTTTGACTGTTGACCTAATGATATCCTTTATAGTATTCACCACCACCTCCACCTCCTTCACTACAAGGTCCAGTCTAGGTTAGATAATACATTCAGCTGTTAGACTTGAGAGCCTTCTTTAATGTGGAACATTTTCCTCAGTCTCCCTCCCACCCCCATGCCCGTACCGGGGATTGAACTCAGGACCTTGTGCTTGCGAGGCAGGCACGGTGCCACTGAGCTAAATCCCGGCCCTCTTTGTCTTTTATGACGTGTATTTTGAAGAATACTGTCTTTTTTTTTTTTTTTTGGTACCGGGGATCAAACTCAGGTGCACTTGCACAGCAGGCGGTGAAACCACTAAGCTAAATCCCCGGCCCTGTCTTTTGTTTTAATAGAATTTGTTTCTCATTTTGTATTTGTCCAGCATTTCCTCAAGATTAAATTGAGGTTTCTTAGCTGGAATATGTATATATGGTGATGTGCCCTTTTCAGTGTATACAGTATTATTACATTCAAAGGTAAACAATCCACTTGTCCCTCAATGATGAATTTTGATTTTCAGTCAAGATGTCACCTAATTTTAGTATAATTTATGTAGTTTCTTCTTTGCAGCTAATAGTCTATGGGGAGATCTTTAAGAAAATGCAAATGTCTTGCTTCTCATCAAAATTTCTCCATAAGTTTAGTGTCCTTGATGATTTTTATCTGATCTAACTATAATGGTTGCAAAATAATGTCTTGTAAATTTTGTTCCTTTGACCTGTTTTGATGTACCAATAAATATTATGTGCTGGCATATTCATTTGCCACATTGATTGAGACAAGGAAGGGGTTTAAGTGACCATCTTAGTTTTAAGGTAAATGTTTAAGTTGCTTTTGAGCCAGTGAGATTTGACTTACATTTGATAGATAGGGGACACCACTCACATTTTTAAAAGCCTGCATAGTTACTCAGTTTTTAATACTACATTTAAAAAGTCAAAGCTCTTAAATTCTCAAAAAAGTGAATTTGCAGCAATTATTTTAACTCCTCAATTGTATATACTGAATATTGCCATTGATAGCAGAATTATTTTGTTCTCTGTGTAGTGACAGGTGAAAATTTCAATATAATCTGTCTTTGGATCCAAAGGTGCTGATTTATTTCATTGCTAAATAAACAAGTACTAAAGTTACTCTTTTAGTGAGGCAGGTGTGGTGGCTCACACCTGTAATACTAGCACTCTAGAAGATTGAGGCAAGCAGATCTCAAGTTTGAGCCCAGCCTGAGCCACTTCACAACTTAGTGAGACCGTCTTTCAAAATTTTAGGAAAAAAGGGGTGGGGCGGGAATGTAGATCAGTGAGAAAATCTGGGGTTTAGTCCCCAGTAGAGCCAAAACAACAATACCCACTACACACCCATTTTAAACACACACACACACACACACACACACACACACGGAACTCCCTAACTGGCTAAAAAATAGTGTGGTGATGTCTTCTTTAGCTTGGCCTGCTATGTCACAACAAAACAATAAGGACTTTGTAAATATTTTTTGAGAAGGATAACCATGAAACTGAAGAAGTAGAATGAAATCCCATCCATGAAAGAGATTAGCTGCCATTTTACTTTAATAGTTGTCATTAATCTCAAAAGAGGTTTCATTAAATTAAAAGAATAGATTTCCTACATGTCCAGCTTCTTTTTGATGTTTGCACTACTGACTGAAATTTGTTGGGCCCATTTTTATTATAAATATTAGTGAATATATGAATGACTGCTTGTGATGCTTTCTCCATTGTAGTTAACCACTTAACTATGAATAGGCAATCTTGAAATGATGGCTTTTCTTAGATTTCACAGTCAACTATTACCTGATTGCATTCGTATTTGTTTGGCTTTGCAAAGGTGTCAGTTCTCAACATTTGAACAATGTCAAGATTGGCTCAAGAGGCTGAACAATGCAATTCGACCACCTGCTAAAATAGAAGATCTCTTTTCGTTTGCATATCACGCTTGGTGCATGGAGGTGTACGCCAGTGAAAAAGAACAACATGGAGACCTGTGCAGACCAGGTAGGCCTTCTAAAATGTGCAGATGGCCAGGAACTTTATCAAGCTAAGCTGGAGGTACCCTTAATATGAAATGGGATGCCTTGCCCCTTATGTATTCGATCAGTGTATATTTTATGGCGCACCCAGCATGTGTCCATTCTTCTAATCATAATAGAACATGTTTCCTGCCTTCTAGAGGAATAAGAGAATACTAGATTTGGTATCACATCCTGCTAGACCTAAAAGCAATTATGAAAAAGTTCATAGGTATTGTGAAACCTTGAATGGAAGGGAGCTGTGAGTTTTTTTGTACATATTGGTGAAGGCTTTACATTAAAAGTGACATGTAGATTTTGGAGGTTGTATGGGAATTCATTGATAACAGGGAAAAGAACATTAGACAGTAGTGGCATTGACAGAAGTACACAGGTATGCTGACAGAGAATAGCAAAATGCAAAATGGTTTCTTGCTATCATGGAATTTGTTTTCAAATCATCATAATCACCTTTTCTGCCCATAGATGAAGAAACAGATCTAGAAAGACCAAGTGTCTTCGTCAACTTCAATTGTAGAGACCCCGAGCCTGTACTGAAATTCAGATTTTCTGACTCCTCATGTTGTCTTTGTCCTCTTCAATATCTTTCTTCCTCTGAAATGACTGACCAAGATTGTATTATTCCTTTGTATATAGTTTTCTATAAACTTTATGCTACCATAAATCAAATTTTGCTGGCCCAGCACTGCCTCTTCAATGTGTCAGGCTTAGAAATTGTGAGCTTGCTCTGAGTGACGTTTGAGACTCTGTGTGGTGTCTGTGTGGTGTCTGTGCGTGTGTGTGTGTGTGTGTGTGTGTGTGTGTGTGTGTGTTAGTTACTGAGGATTGTACCCAGGAGCTTGTGCATAACAGCAAGCACTGAATCACTGAGTTAAATTCCTAGCCCTTTTCTAGATAGGGTCTCACTACACTGCCCAGGCTGACTTTGAATTTTTGATCATCCTCCCTCAGCAGATTTTTTTCCTTAAATTTGTAATTTTAATCTAGAATCTTCAATCTTCTAAGTCAATCCTGAGTCATTTTAAACATTTAAAGCTAGTGTGTGTGTATAATCAGTTTGTTCCCTGTTCACTGATTAAAGCTTTTGGCTCAGATTATTTTGTTTAACTAAAATACTTACAACATAAGCATTATCTTATTTAAAAAGATGCTTTGATAAATACTTTTGTTTGGTCTTCATGAGCTCGTCAGATAGGCTAGGCTGGTGTGTCTATTTTAGGAACAAAACAAATAGAGGCTTGGGGTAAAGCCTGTTGCCAAAACCCAATGCTCGTAATTAAGAAGTAGATTTAAGAGCAGCCCTCACTTTCTGAGAATCAGGTCTATGGGGTTTTGTGGATATAGAGCTTGAAGAACAGAGGCATGTCCCCTGGTGGAGCCTCAGGAAAAGGCTCAGAATCCAAACTTCTTCCAAGCCTTTCCCAGTGGGTAAAACGTAAAGTCATCCACTAGAGCCCACACCAGCCTTGAAAATTTATGTGAGGGTACTTAAACCATCTCTCACTTTACTCTCTTACGTAACCATTGCCCCACTCCTCTTTTCTTTCCTGTTTTTCATCTTTTATTGAGATGCCATCACATTTTGAGTTTATTTTTCAGTTTGTGGCTCTTCTTAAGTTTTGGGTTTTTTGTTGTTTTTTTTTAAATAATAAAGTACTGTTTTAGTTACTTTTCTCTCATTGCTGAGGCAAAATGCCTGACACCAAAAGTTTATTTAGCTCACAGTTTGTAGAGGTTTCAGTCCATAATCAACTGGTTCCAGGCCAGGGTGGCACATGGCAGAGGGGCAACAGTTTATGGTGGTGGAAAATAGCTCAACAGCATCTTTCTGCCCCCTTTATCTTATTCAGACTACCAGGATTAGGGTGGTGCCAAACCAGTCACTCACATGTAGTGGTTTAGTAATCATATGTCCTTAATCACAGCATCACACATTCCAGATTCAGCTAACTCTGAAAAAGAAAGCCCCACCTCATCCACATGAGGCTTTGTGGGGCACATCTAAACATAAGCCATAACAAGTACAAGCAATGAAGTGCACAAATCTTACATATTTGCTGAGTTTTTAACAATTGTATCTTATATATTAATTTTTTAGTCTCTGTCATCTCCTAGAAGAATTAAGGAGTTATCCTCAAGTTTAGGTTTGCATCTTGCTGCATTGTTAGATGAGAACTATAATGTATTTTAAGACCCCTAACTCCAAGAAGTATTCCCCAATTTTGGGTTGCCAGCCTTTAGTGAACAAGACTTGCTTTCTCCTATTATTTCACAATTGCAGCCTGAAAAGTCCTCATCTTTTAAGGGACTTTATTTTCTTGATAATTTTTATTATTTATTTTGTATTTAAGCCAACTCTTGGAGTATTACTAAGATATACCATGTGAAAGCTTTACTCTTATTTATGGGTGGCTTTGTCCTAAGGAGGAGGGTCCTGAGATCCTTCTCTGCCTGATGACATCTGATATTCTTTGGCCATCAGATCATGGAGTTAGCCAAAATACCCAGTGTCTTTTGGGGGGCAGCTTCTGTTTTTTCTGTTTGTTTGTTTTTGGGAGGCAGGGTCTTGCTATGTGGTTCAGGCTATCCTTGAACTCACTACTTAGCCCAGGCTGACCTCAAACTCCAGATGATCCTCCTGCCTCAGCTTCCCGAGTGCTGGGATTATAAGCACCACCATGCCCAGCTTTTTCAGCGGCTTTTGATACCTGGGGACATGGAAAGAATACTTGGACTCTCTAATGTTTAATTGAAAATAATACTAGGCAAGCCATTTATCCTTTCTGTACTTTGGTTTCCTTTGTTCTTCAGACTGGGAGATACATGTTCTTTCTGCCTAAACTGAACCAGGTATATCTTAAAGATCAAGTATGTTGATACATAGTACATTGTTCAATTCAGTAAATATTTGAGTGTCTCCTATGTGCCATGCTTATGAAAACTTCAGAAATTATACAACTAAAAGATAATGCTGCCATAACTGGTTGGCAGTTATGGTATGGTGGCATTGGTGGAAATTCTCTAATGATTGGTTGGAAATTCTCTATGATTAAAGGTTGCATTTTGTTTCTTCCCAAGATACACAGTTCACACTGGAGGTAATCTTCCTCTGCTCACAGGGAGTCTTAACTGTGTTTTAGTGACTTTGTTTGAATGTGTGTGTATGTGTGTCTTTTCCCTTTTATATGTTTTCACTGTGGAGTTACAGAGGTGGCATTTTTAAAGCCAGTTAACCTCGTTCTTCTGTCTCCACCCTGTAGTGCTGAATGTTAGTGATAGCTACAGTGTAACTCACCAAATAAGAGCATTCCAAACAATCACATTCTTGTAAGTCATCTTAAGGGTGAGACAGCAGTTGAAATATTTCAGAATGATGCCCTTGTATATTCTGCCCTACTACATGAGATCACAAACATAGATCCTGAGGAGTAGAAATCAGTCTTTAGCAGTTAATATAGCCTTTTATGGGTTCTGTTCCATGTACCCTGTTTAAAATGCGTCACAAGATGAAAATGGGAATATTACATCATTGCCTTGGTATTCATATAAATTTTAGTTAAGCCAACAATACTATGCTCTAGGTTTTAATCAGCTTTGGAAGAAGTCTCAACATTGCTACTGGAGTTCACTGGTGAAGTCTGCTGCAAAAGCCTTGCCAGGCTCTTGACTGCTGTCAGCTCCATCTTACATCGTAAATGAGGAGCAGACTCAAAAGCTCTAAGCTTCTGCTTGTGCCCTCAACTTCCTCAAATCCAGGTTCCTCATTACAGCTGGCTTCTGGGTGATGGCTCTGCACTAGAGCATTAGTCTGGAGTCCTGACAAATGACCAGGCAGTTTGGGCAGTTCAGCTGCTTGTTTAGCATTGAGCCTACCTCTCCTTAAGTACATCATGTTTATCCACAAACAGCCTATGACTCTAGATGTTTTCTAGGCTCGGGTACGGTCCAGGAAGTATAAGCCTTCAGGACTTACTGGCATCTGTGTGCATAGAAAAGAATTATTTTTCTCTTCGTATTTAAAAATCTGGAAGGGCTATTTCTCACTTTTCTCTGACTCTGGTCTGGTTTCTCATCTTTTTTTTTTTTTGGTACCAGGGATCAAACTCGGGTCCTTGCGCTTATGCAGCAAGCGGCAAAACCACTGAGCTAAATCCTTGGCCCTGCTTCCTCATCTTAATGGATATGAGTCTTATCTCTTCTATCCCAGGCCTATAACTGACATGTATAGTTGGCTTGAATACTCGGAATTAGCCAGGAAGCTAGATTTTGGAGGGGGGGAATTTTGTTTTTAGATTGCAGATTCACTTTGTAATTAATGATAGAGGGAGCTCATTTCTTTTTGTGTGTGTGTGTTTTGGGGTTTGTTTGTTTTGATACCAGAGATCGAACTCAGGACCTTGCACAGTGCCACTGAGCTAAATCCCTGGCCCGCTGGAGCTCATTTCTTTAAAAAGTTTTCATCCTCACTGAAAGGAAAATTGTTGGACTGTATGTAGCTATAGTACAAGAAAAACACTTAGGTGGTGTGCACCTGTAATCCCAGCAGTCTGGGAGGCCGAAGCCAGAGGATCACAAGTTCATAGGAACTTAACAAGACCCTGTCTGAAAACAAAAAAGGGCTGGAGATGTAGCTCAGTGTGAAGGCCCTGGGTTCAATTCCCAGAGCCCTCTCCTTACCCCCATACAAAAGAAATGCTAAGTGTTACAACAAACAGGAAGAATCAAAATGGAAATATAAAGCTAAAAAACCTTGTGGCTTCATATTTAAATTGGGATATTGCAGCATATCCAATATTGAATCACCTGAGACATGGCAGGCAGTTCTGAGATGGAAGGGAAATTCAGCAGTAGTTATATTTTGTGTTTGCTTTTCTGGCTAAATAGACATTAAGTGAAGCAAAAACAGTTTGCACAAATTTAGTTGACCATGTATGTGAAATCTGCTGCTCAGTTTTTTTGAAGCATTGGTTTTTAAACTGAAGGTTTGGCTCTTTTAGTGGGTCATGAAATAAAATTTTGAAGAAATGAATTAGAATAGGAAATATCAAGAGGCATTCACAGTAAGAGTGACGGTATGGGCGTCACAGTAAGAGTAAGGGTATCGTTTTGTGAATCCCTGTTGAGAAATAAATGCATTTTATGATGGAAAGTTTAATTATTATGAGTCATGATGGTCAGTTTCAAAGTTGGTGAAATCACTGCTTTAGAAGATTCAAAGATAAATTAAAGGTCCTTTTTAAGGAATTTGAAATAACAGATTTTCTCAGACTGCTACTTAGTATGTATTTCTCTGTGTGTGTAATTCAGAATTTTGTGCTCCAGATGATGGTTCTAAGCCTTTCTTTAGGTATTGGTTCTATGTAGTAAGTTACTGCTGGTGGCATTTGTAGTTTGTATCGTTATTTTTTTTTTCCAGTGATTATTTTTAAAGCAAAAGATCCTTTTTAGGACATTTATGTGTTTATTCAAAGATAGTTACTAATGTAAAAGAGTGTTAATAAAAGTACTTTTGTAAGATTGTGAAGCTGTATAGGGAGGGAAGAGTACCTTTTTAGCTTTCTTTCATTAATGAACTTGGAAGTTGCTATAGTTTTGCAGCTTTTAGATTTTGATTTTAAGCAAAAGACTACCTGTTTAGTTTTTTTTGTTTTTTTAATGAATGAGCTTATATTTTTTTCTTTCTGTTTAGTATTCCTTTTTCTTTTTTCTTTTTTGTTTGTTTGTTTTGTTTTTTGAGGCAGGGTCTCCCTTTGTAGTTCACGCTAGCCCTGAACTCAGTATGTAGCCCAGGCTGGCCTCGAACTTGCAGCGATCCTCTGCCTCAGCCTCCCGAGTACTGGGATTACAGGCGTGAGCCACCTCAATTTAGTATTTTTGATGGTCAGTATTCCTGATAGTTTGTAGACAGATGACATTCTAATTTATCTGTCTTTTTCCTATTTGGAATCTTGGTACTTGCTTCCATAATTTTTTTCCAAATGGGCAGAATCAGCTATTTTTTCTTAAATCTCTGAACCTCATCTTCTTTTTTTCTTTTTTTTTTTTTTTGGTACCAGGGATCGAACTCGGGTCCTTGTGCTTGTGGGGCAGGTGGCAGAACCACTGACCTAAATCCCCAGCCCAGCCTCATCTTTTTATAGCTCCCCTTCAGAAAACATATCCTACTTACTAGCTTAAGCTCAAGAAAAGCAGTTTAAATGGGAAGTAGTTTTTCAGAATTGTTCTTCATTCAAGTAATTGCTATTTCTTACTCTATAGCTTCTCTCCTAGGGAGAGCAAAGCTTTGTATTTTGATCACCAAAGCAGTCTGTTTTGTGCTTTTATTTGTTGTGGTGGTTTCTTCCAGCCCCCACCAGCATTTATTTTACAAGCTGTAACACAAGGTCTGCTTAATGTTTTTGTTTTAATAAAATTACTTCCTAGGACTGGGTATATACCATTTTTAAGGAAGAAAGTAATTCAGATTTACTAACATTTAATTAGGTTCAGCCAAATTCATCAGCCAAATGTAGCTACTTGGGTGGATGTTCTTACAGATGCTCAGGACTTTACTTAGTTTGGATTTCCTGATATTCATAAGCACTGGCAGTTAGGTTTCCATGACCACTTTACCTATAGTTCTGTAATCTAAAAGGCTCTGAAAATCCTAAACGTCTTTCTTACCATATTTGGCAGCTTGATACCATCTGACCTGACAGGTATTTGTTGCTGTATTTATCCCACTTGTATATCACTGAAGAAGTATTAACACTTATTTAGTAGCCCCTGTTAAGTTTGAGCTAATATTATAATATGTACACCGTTTTACCTTTCTAAAATCCAAAAATCTCTCAAGTTCTGAAATCTGACCCAAAAGTTTTCAGATGAATAGATCCACATTACTACTCTTGATGATCTTGCTAATTTATTTCTTCACATGTATACTATTGGTCTGAGTGTAGAAGTAGTAAATTAGCCAGTGGAGTGATAAGAAAGACCATGAGTTTAGGGGGCAGAAAAATAGGCCATGATAACCTTTCTCTGTTTTGTCTTGTGTAAAAGAAGTTCAGTGAAGGTAGAGAGGTTAGATGAGATAACATAGTTCTTAATGAAGAATTAATTTTTTCCCTCTTTAGTTTTAGTCTGTAAGGGCTAACTACATGTTATTATTTATACAGTTCCTGCCTTTTTAATAAATAATGGAGCAAGGTAACCCTGCTTTTATTCCGTCTGTTCTGCAAAGTAGTATTCGTTTCTTCCTTTCTGTCTCTGGTCCCTAGGAGAGCATGTAACGTCAAGGTTTAAGAATGAAGTGGAGCGGATGGGTTTTGATATGAACAATGCCTGGAGGATTTCCAACATCAATGAGAAATACAAGTGAGTTATATGGGTCCCTGTAGACTGTGTTTCATAGCCACTGCCTTTACAGAAACACCAATGCTCACGTGGTAGAACGTTTCAACCTACACTTTGTCTTTGAAATAGATAGAGTTTTACTTATTAGGTCTAAGTGTATGATCTTCAGAATACTTGTTGAACTTTCTGTTCCTACTGCTGTTGCTGGAGTAGAAAGTGATCCTTAACAGGATCCTGGAGTCTTCCTTTCTACCCACCTCTTAGCCTCTCTTCTTCCTGGTACATGTATTTACCTATAGGGAGGCAGTTTCCATTATTCTCATTACTACTTGTCAGCATATTAGTGTGATAAGATCAACGGTCTTATAAGAAGTGACAAAACACTTAGAAGCTAGTTTTTATGACTAATTTTGTTCCAGATTTTATGAAATAGACACACGCATTTCAATATGTTGATCTAAAACTAACTTCATAGTTATGATCGTATAACCATTAAATACTATTTATTGTAACCATTATTAAATATTTAATTAATGTATCCTACGTTTCCATGCAGCACTGTTCATTCATTGTCTTATGAGCTGTCTCAAATTATAGCCGTTTTCCTAGTCTGTTTATGGTGGGCCATCAGAGGATTTCATTTTTATTAGAAAAGCTACAGCTTATTACTATATGCAGCAACTCTTAACATGGAAGTTAAGAACTTGGGGTGTTGTAAGGAGTTAGGATTTGCAGACCCTAACTCCTTGTTCTCAGTGACAGGACAAAGCAAAGGAGGGTGAAGATTGGAGGAGGGAGAGGCTTCAGAGAGCCTGAGGCTACCACATGCTTTGCTAAGTGCAGGCCACTTTTCCTCCACTGGCTATTGCTTATCGACAAGTGAGCAGCTGATTCTTGCAGAGGGTTACTTGGAGTAGTGCAGTACCTGTGGAAGAGTGAACATATTCAGGAAATTGGAGGAGCAAAAAACTGAATTAAGCCAAGCTTGCTTAAGGAAAAAAAACCCCGATTAATATGAAATTTAAAAATAACTTCTTGCCTTGGAGTTGACTAGTTCCATTTCAAAACCAGTCTTGGGCATTGAAGAGTTCTTCCTACTACAAAGGAAGAATGAGATTCAAATCTACTTTTGAGTTAAAAAACAAAATGAAAGGATTTAGACTCATGCTTAAAGTATTAACCATGATCACTGTGACCTGGGTTATTTTTAGGAGTTCGTGGATAGGTGTTAGGAAGTTTACATAGCTTCTCTCAGTCATAGCCATTCTTTTGGATCAGTGACTTTTAAATTCCTGATACTTCATCTTCTGGAAATGGAGGACAGAGAGAAAGTTGGTGCAGTGTACTTACAACCTCCAATTCCTAAGCCAAGGTGTGGTGGTTTGGTGTTTTTGTTGTTTGTTTTTGAGACAGGGTCTCACTATTAATTAGCTCAGGCTGCCCTTGAACTCACTATGTAGCCTAGGCTGACCGCGAACTCATAGTGAACCTCCTGCCTTAGCCTCCCTAATGTTCAGATTACAGGCATGCACCACCACACCTGGCTTTAGTGTGTTTTTCTGCCTGTTCCTGTTTAATGCATTTGAAAGAGTAGGGCAGAGGGTGGTGGTGGTGGTAGAGGTGATTGAGTTTGTTTTTGGATTTGGATTAAAGGTCCCAATGCTTTCATTATTATAAAAAGAAGATGAAGTTACCCGTAGAGAGATTATTTTGTAAATAAAAATCTATGAGAAGTACAGGTTCCCAGGTCACCAACTTGACTAGCATGCAGGTAGCGTCTTCACTAAAGAAAAGAGAGCTTCTTCTCCAAGTATAGTTCTGTACATTTTATAGAAATTATAATTAATAGCTTATTCACCTTACTAACTTGGCTCAGTGGTACAGTGATCATGTATGCATATAGTCGAGCATGTGGTATTTCTTTTGTGTTCTCAGGCTGCTCTGTTTACCTATAATTAGGACAACGTGTTTGGTTCAGATCAAAGAATGACTTAATCTTAAGAGGTCTCTGGAAACTTGAAATTGTGAGTTTTGTCCTTCTTTACATGTTTCCCTTCAGCGGAAGCCTGGAAGAATAGGGGTCTGATGGGGCAACACAGGTTTTTGATTCTGTCATTGTACTGGGTGCTCATGTAGTTAGAAATGACCTATATATTTGTTATAACAGAGTTGCCATGGAAAATAAAGAGAAAATGCCCCTTTTCACCCTTTTTCATTGACAGTTTGCCAGATTCCCAAAAGGCAACATCAAGTAGAACAATCCAAGAGATCGTATCACTTGGAGATAGAATAGAGACCTGAAATACTTTCAGCAACCCATTTTGGTTTTGAGGAGACTTAAACTCAAATAATGCTTCCCATTGCCTTTTTTGTTGGTTTGCAGTGCTGAAGATTAAACCTAGGATCTCACACGTGCTAGACAAATGCCCTACCAGCTGAGCTGCCTCCCCAGCCACCCCCATTGCTTTTCAACTGGCTTTGTGATAGTATAATCAGTATCCCTATGCTGCCTCATCTAATGTCTCTCTCTCCTGTTTTTCTTCCCTCTCCTCCCTCCCCTCTTTACTTTCTTTTCCCTTTCCCCCTTTCTCATTTTTTCTATGTTAGGTTATGTGGTAGTTATCCACAAGAGCTCATAGTGCCTGCCTGGATCACTGACAAAGAACTAGAAAGTGTAGCAAGCTTCAGGTCATGGAAGCGCATCCCTGCTGTCGTCTACAGGTGAGTTTAAGTTTAAATCAGCTGGGCTGCTGCAACTGCCTGTTCACTGCATATGGTCAGCAGCTGCTAACCTGGGGAGAGAGAAGGTTCAGAGAACTTTCCAGGCAAGTCAGCACTTCCTTCAGGAATCCCCAAAGCTGCTCTTCTGATACACATCGATACTCACCATATCCAGAATACTCTTTGGTGGTTCATTTGACACTGACGTGGCTGGACTTGCAATTTCAAGTTCCTTCTTGCATTCATTCTGTGAGAAGATATGTGCTTACTGCATTTAGTTTTATATGTTATCAAAGCCTTTGTATTGAGAGAGAGGAGTCCTAGAACATGAGATCTGGGAGAATACAATTGAACCATCTGTGATTGTCTCTGTGGTTGACCTTTAGACATATTGAAAAACTCGGTTTTAAGAGGGAAATTTAGAAAAAAAGGCAAGGGCTGGGATGAGTAGAAAATTTCAGAGATCTCTGAGGAATGAATGCCAAGGGATGCAAGTTCTAGGAGGGGTTGGTAGAGTGGTAGGGGCGCAGGTTTTGGAGGCACAAACCTAAAATCTGTTCTGACACACCTTGCTGTGACACATGGAGTATATTTCCAAACTGATCCCAGTCTATTCCTAATGAATAGAATGGGAACCGTAGTTCTTACTTTGCGGATGTGCTGTGACACGTGAATGAGGGCCTATTAACAACCATTGTTTGGAGTCATTATATCCCTGAGGATTGTTTGTATCAGTTGTAAGACTGAGGGCCTTACCAAACGCTCCGAGGAGCTGACTATAGTGAAGCACACCCAGGAATCCCAGCGGTGCCTTCAGAATGTAAGACCAAGAGCCTTACCAAATGCTCCGAGGAGCTGACTAGTGAAGCACACCCAGGAATCCCAGCGGTGCCTTCAGAATGTAAGACCAAGAGCCTTACCAAATGCTCCGAGGAGCTGACTGCAGCGAAGAACACCCGGGAAGGAAC